CCTCCTGGAAAATCGGGCGTACATTGGGGTACTTGAGAGCTTCGAGTTTTGGTGCTGCTTGCTTGCTAAACCCTGAACCCTAAATCCAAATGCTCCCGACCGCAACCACTTGGAGGTCGGTGCTTTCGATTCCCCCGATGCTGCGCCAAACTCGACATACCTGATCATTCAGTATTCCCAACCTCGAGCAACGTCTTTGGCATAGGGGCAGAACTACAGAACACATTGGATGTATAGACGCACATGTACATACATCCTCATACATATGTGTGTATATATACATGTACACGCATACCTACCTACCTACCTACCTACCTACCTACCTACCTACCTACCTACCTACCTACCTACCTAGCTACTTACCTACCTACCTACCTACATGTGTATACATATATGTATATGTATCTGTATGTATATATATATATATATATGTATATATATTATCACATATTCCAGTTGGTGATACACTATGTGCAGTAACTGAGTACCGTGATAGAACATGTAGCCTGGGTCTAGGCTTTCCGATCCGGACTGAGCATTAACAACTTCGGGTTCTCCGATGTGTGGCTCTAGGACTAAGATCTCGGATTGGGGTTACTTAAAGGATCATGGGACTTAGTGACTAAGGTTCAGATAACCATACTTACTAGGTCCCATGATCCTCCAAGTAAGGTTCAGGCTTAGGTGTTCGCTTTTATTCTTTCGAGAATGTCCTTTCGACAACGCTATAGAAAAATCCCGAGTGGTCACAAACCACCCTCGTAGGCTTATGTGGAGCCTGCAGTGAAACCCCAGTCAAAACCCGAAACCCTAAACCCCTGAACCCTAAACCCTAAATCCTAAACTCTAAACCCTAAGTCCTAAACTCTAAACCTTAAATCCTAAAACCCCTTGCTCTGAATCCTCCGGCTTCTGCTGCTTAGCGACAGCTCGTGCTGCGTGATGCGGCCAGAGAGGCCGCGCTCATCCATGATCTGTTGGACCTTCCAGCAGGAGATCCAGGGTCTACTTAAAGGATCATGGGACTTGGTAACTAAGGTTTTTCTTAGGATAACTATACTTATAACTACTTATAACCCCAACTAAGGTACTTATAACCATACTTACTAAGTCCCATGATCCTCCAAGTAGTTAGGCTGTCAGGGTTTAAGCCCCAATACCCGAAATCCTGAACTCCAAAACCCTAAACCCCTAAACTCTAATTCCTAAACCCTAGATCGTAAAATCCTAAACTCTTGACCCTAAACCCTAAATCCAAAGTTCTAAACCCTAAATCCTAAATGCTAGACCCCCCTCGTTAGGCGGTCAGAGTTAAGGAGCTCGGGGGTTGCCACAACACGCCTGAGCTTGGGCTCGCTGCGGGGGCTCTCTACGTTTTGGAGCCTTGCTTCAGCGACACTTGTTAGGTAAGGGGTGTAGGGCCTTTAGGGGTCCCTTAAGAGTTTAGGGTTTAGGGCTTTCAGGGGTCCCTTAAGAGTTTAGGATTTGGGACTTATAGGGGTCCCTTAAGGGTTTAGGGTTTAGGGCTTTTAGGGGTCCCTGAAGGGTTTAGGGTTTAGGGTATAGGGCCCCTAAACCCAATTAGGGCCCCTAAAGCCTAAACACCCCAAAACGCATTTTCCCGACAGCGGAGTCCCCGACGTTCCCTGGCTTTAAAAAAAGGTTCCTTCAGCGTAGCCTAAACCCTGAACCCTAAACCGTGCGGTCCTTTCGGGGATCTATAAGGGGCTTCGGGTTTAGCGCCCCGGTCTTCCAATATCCCTTAATTAAGCAAGCAATACTTGGAGGATCATGAGACTTACTAAGTATGGTTATAAGTACCTTACTTGGGGTTATAAGTAGTTATAAGTATAGTTACCCTAAAGTTACTAAGTCCCATGATCCTGTAAGTAACTATACCTTACATCATAGGAGGCTCACTAATGTGACTTAAGACTTAAGAACTGTGACATATATTCTTTAATTGAGGGATTTTGGAAGGTCTGGGTATCCGGCGCACGCCATGGACATTATCGAAGCAGCACGAAGCGGGCTACATGTTTAGACTGGACCCACTAGAAGTCGGCTACCACTTGGAGGATCATGGGACTTAGTAAGTATGGTTATAAATACCTTAGTTGGGGTTATAAGTAGTTATAAGTATAGTTATCCTAAGAAAAACCTTAGTTACTAAGTCCCATGATCCTTTAAGTAACCCTAAAGAACCCTTATCGAACCCTTAGAGATCCCCTTTAAGGGACCCTTTAAGGACCCCTAGTTACCAAGTCCCATGATCCTTTAAGTAGGTGGAGACTGAATAAACCCTAAACCCTAAACCCTAAATCCTAAACCCTAAACCCTAAACCCTAAATCCTAAACCCTAAACCCTAAACCCTAAACCCTAAATCCTAAACCCTAAATCCTAAACCAAGCTTCAGCAACCGAAGCAGAATGCCCGAGCCACGGTCTGAGAGTCTTGCTGAAGTTTGCGGGATCGACCACTGTAGATCACAATTTAGGGTCTAGGGTTTAGGGTTTTAGGGTTTAGGGTTTTAGGGTTTAGGGTTTTAGGGTTTTAGGGTTTAGGGTTTAGGGTTTAGGGTTTGCTAAACGGTGCCAATGTCACAAGCCATGAACCCGAAGTCGCACATCTTAGTCGACAACTTAAGTGGGGGTTTCCGAAAATAGGGGACCCTAATATAGTACCCTAAATAGTAGGATCCTTATTATAAGGACCCCCAAATAAGGTACCCCGAATTTTCGGAAACCCCCATAACAGCCACCTGAAAGCCCAAACCCTAAACCCT